GTGTGTGGGGAGGGGAGACTGGGGGTACTGGGGCCACTGGGGTGTGTGGGGAGGGGAAACTGGGGGCACTGGAGTGTGTGGGGAGGGGAGACTGGGGGTACTGGGGCCACTGGGGTGTGTGGGGAGGGGAAACTGGGGGCACTGGAGTGTGTGGGGAGGGGAGACTGGAGGTACTGGAGTGTGGGGGGAGGGGGTCTGTTGTTACTGGTGTATGTGGGGAGGGATACTGGAGGCACTGGTAATGTAGGAGGGGTAGTGGATGTACTGGTGTATGTGAGCAGGGTGTACTGGGAACATTGATGTATGTCTAGAGGGGGTTCTGGGGATACTGGTTTGTGTAGGGAGGAGGTACTGGGGACACTGGGGACTGGAAGCACAGGTATGTGTGGGGAGGAAGGTACTGGTGTGCACTGGGAGCGGGATATTGGGAGCACTGGTGTGTGTAGAGGTGGTACTGGGTCACCAGTGTGTGTGGGCAGGTGGCATCTGGGGCACTGGTGTATGTGGGGAAGGGGTATTTGGGGTAACTAGGGTGTGGGAAGGGGTACTGGGGTCACCGGTGTGTGTGTGTAGGGAGGGGGCGGTGGTGGCACTGGTGCAAAAATAATGGGGTGCTGGAGGGGCCCATGGTGGGGGACATGGGGACCCACTGGGACAGTGATGGGGGGACACGGGGTGTTTTGGGGGTGGTAGGGCTGGGGGACGGGTGCTTGTGGAGAACTGGGGAGGGGGCTCAGCATGGGGGGGAAGGACAGGCCACCCGAACAGCCACGGGATGGGGTGCAGGAGCTGGGTGAGAGTGTTTGGGGGAGCAAAGAGAGATTTGGGTTGTGCTGGAGCTGACTGGAGTGAGTTCGGGGTGGGGGACAGAACTGGAGCAACGTGTGTGCCAAAAATGTGGTGGGAGAATCCACTCAGGTCCCAGGGCTGAGCGAGCTGCTCTTCCAGAGTCCCCAGGACCAGAGGGAGTTCCCTGGTCGTGATGTCAGGGATGATATTACCTCCTGGACACAGCGTGTGACACGCGGAGCAGGCAGCCGGGCCTCCTCCTGGCCTCTCCGTAAGGGCTGGCATTTCTCTGGGATTTCTGTTGATACAAGGAAATGATCACCTGCTTTGTAATTTATAATGATTTCTGAATATTGCTTAATAATCCTGACTGTCCTGGGGAAGCTTACCAAGGACTACTGTGTTCAGCAAAACAAAGCAGTTTTCTGTGGAAAGTCACCAAGAATTACTATGTTTGGCAAAAATAAGAGACGTGTCCTTGGAAAGCAGATGGGTTCTAGCAAGTTTAGTCTTTGTAATGGATAGACAGCCATATATGGGCAGTAGAAATTAATAGACTGGTGCTTTTAGGTAAGATAGAGTCGGTAAACCAGCAGGAACCACCTTGGTCAAGTCATTAGCTAAGAGAATCTGCACATGCTCCGAGGACAAATACAAGGTGAGAAAGGCGACAAGCCTTCCTCCAAAAGACCCCCGAAGACAACGCGCAGGAGGAAACGGGCAGGAGCAAAGAGAAAAAACTACTGACACCAGCCTTTTGAACTAACCCAGCCTCGTTATGCATAGGGCCATCTGCATTATGTAATCCAATTAATATGTGTATCCATATCCACACTCGGTGAGGTTTTGGCAAAATGTGCTGTTGGTATGTAAGCTTTGTGGAGAAATCCCCTTGCACCCCAGCGCCGGAGTAAACGTACCTGCTGTGTAACTCTCTCTGAGTTGTAGAATCTGTTTCCACGAATCACTATTATGCTTCAGCTCTCCTGTCTTGCTGGGTCATCCTGTCGATGGCTGCTCTGCAACATTTACAAGTAGGTAAAACAGCAGAAACAGAAGCACAGAAAGGTGATTTACCAAAAATTACAAAAAGAAATCCATGCAAGGCTGAAACTACAGCTGGAGTTGCTTGATTCCACCTTAATTTACCCATTAGAGAGAGAGCACAACCCTTCTCTACCACTTGTCATGACCCAGATTGGAAGCCCAGAGCGTCACAATGGTTCTGTGATCCTCTCAGGTTAAATGAAGGTGAAATGACACCAAACAACCGGTTAAAATATTTTACTTGCAGTAGAGAACAGTTTAAACTTGGAAAAGGATAATAAGCAATGTGGTCTCTTATAATATAAATCAAAAGGAAAGTGAAAGGAGAAAAAAGAGGAAAGAGAAAAAAAGAGTCAAAGAAATCCGGATCACCACCCCTGGATCCAGCGTTGTCTCAGGTCTGGTAATCTTGGGTGGTGGGTGCACACACAGCAAAGTTTCTGTTGCCTTTTAAAGTTCATCTTATCAGCTGATTAGCATACTAGATGAGGAGGGGCAGGTACTCCACAAATTCCTCTCCATGAGAGACAAGGAAAAAGGTGGAGCATGGGTTCCAGTTGAGTTGGTGGGCAGGTGGTTGTTGCCCAGCTTTGGTGTTTCCTCTGATCACAGAGATCTCATCACTCATCCCAGAAATGCTCACCTCTTCCAGTTCTTGTTACCCCTCCAGTGGTGAAGGGGTGAAGTCATTAGCAAGGCAAGCACTGGTGTCTGGCTTGCACAATCGAGCCACCAAGTATTGGGCTTAGCAGTACTTGTGCTTGAGGGGAAACACCTGGTTTAGTCCCTGTCTGGCCCTCTGAGGCTTCTCTAAGGAGTTTGTCAGTGCAACTGCACGGGTGTGGGGGGTGCATCCTTTGATAGGCTCCCGCTTCCTTGGGGGACATTCCTTAGACTAATCCAAAGGCCACAGCTTGTCCTTGAGGTTTTCTGTGTCGATGAATGTTTGAGTCATTACTTCTTTCAGTTCCTTGCACCACTTCACTGTCTTTCTCATATTTCTGCTCTCTCGGGGTAGAAGCTAAGGTAAGATGCATTCATTAAAATAATTATTTTTAAAGCTTCCAGAATAACCATGTCCACATGGAGGCAGCAGCAGAACCTGCAGGAGACATCCACATAACAGGCTTGACCATGCTGATGAAACCATCAACAGCATTCCTGGTGCCTCAGGTATCTGGTCCCCATCATATCAGCTGCCACAGGGGCAGGGCTCCAAGCACATCACTTTCCTGGGCTCAGGAGCACCTGCACAGCAAGTGCATCTTGTCAGCAAATTGCTGACCAGTTATCCAGGGTCACAGAGTGGGAGAGAAGCCACAGCAACCAAACTGCAGGACACTGAAGCCAAATGTCAGTGTATCACACTAAATAAACAATATAAATATAAATATAAATATAAATATAAATATAAATATAAATATAAATATAAATATAAATATAAATATTCTGCCCTAAAATCTTGCATGTTCTCCTCTGTTTTTCCCATTTTATCACCTAGGACTAAAAATCAAAGAGCCAGGTAATACACAAACTTCATCTTCCCCCTTCCCCTCCTCCCCCATCTCTAAATGACTTTTTTTCTCATTAGAGATGTAGGAGAAAGAACCCAGGCTGTACAGCAATCTGCCATTCATCTGTGGATTTTCTTCCCTTGCATGTCAAGTTCCCCCTCCCACCCCACACTCATACACTCACTTCCAGAAACACAAAGCATTTGCCATCCTAATTCCCAACAGATTATTTAGGTAGCTGATACTTATGAGGCCTCCGTAAGAGGCCTTGGTGACTGTATGTTTGTTTTGCCCTGGCAAAGCAATTGACCTGAAGAGCAACCAGACCTGTGAGTTGGCATCTGTGTGGGCAAGGAGTTAAATTTGGGTGCCGGTTTGAGAAATGCAACTTGACTCTGAGCTTCCTGAACTCGCAAAAAGGTGCCACACACTCAAAACACTGATGCCTTGAATTCACTAGCTAGCGGAGCCAAGCTTTGTCAACAGCTGCCAGCAGCTTGGGCAAGTGCCATGTGATGAGTGTTATTAACCTTATCTCGTTTACATCCAGGTCTTGAGAGAGGAGGCGTGTATCAGCTTTCTTATGTGTCCTACTTTTATTACACTCCCAATCTTGCAGTCTTCCCCTGACGTCCTTCCCAAATTGCTGGAGTAAGCAACGAGACATAAGAAACAGATTAAAAACAGAGATCAAAAAAATCCCCTTCCCCCCAGGCAGTCTCTGCAGGAGTAGATCTGCAAGGAGAGCTGCTCTGAGGAGGAGAGATTCTGCAGGATTCCTTCACAGAATCACTCAGGCTGGAAAAGCCCCTCGGGACCATCGAGTCCAACCCTCAGCCCGACTCTACAAAGTTCTCCCCTACCCCACATCCCCCACAGCTCATCCCAACGGCCCTGAAACCCCCCCAGGGATGGGGACTCCCCCCTCCCTGGGCAGCCTCTTCCACTCTCGGACCACTCTTTCTCTGAAAAATTTTTTCCTAATGTCCAGTCATTTCACAGTCCTGCCATATATTTGCAGTTCTGTTCGTGTTTTTCACTTTGTCCACTGGCTTTGCATTTCTCAGGTGGTTGGGAGCTATGCTTTATTAGGGTACACAGCCTGCTGAAGAACACCTGTTTCCCCCTTCCATCCATAGCAGAATAAAGGATGAAATCCTATTTAAAAAATAAAATTATATTTTAGAAAAAAGAATAATCTATTTCTTCTTGCTATTCTGCAGTGACTACACTTCTAAAATAGAAATCCACCCTGTGCTTGTTCCCCACTTTGAGGGAAAAATCAATGTTTTCCAGCAGTGGACCTTTTTCTCCTGAAAACATTAATTTTGAAGAAAACCAATTTTCCATTGCAGGAGGATGAAATGAAATAACTCTAGTGGGAAACTTCTGGTCAGCACAGTGGTGGGCCTGCTGCCACATCCATGTAGTAAGAAAATCAGGTACGTTTTGCACTAACTTCATAAAAACTAAATTTCCTACACCATGTCAACTGAAACAGTATGAGGATTAGCCCAGGATGAGACCTCTCAAAACGTGAGATATTATCTGTTATGTCCATATATTGCAGGCATTCATGCCAGCCTCAAAGGCAGAACGAGACTGATGTGTAAATGTTTTTACATTTTTCAGGGTTTCCATTCCCTGTTTAAAGATGCAAAGAGCTGGCATGCCAGCACCGTTAACAGAAATACAGACAGCAGAGCTGGAAGCAATCTCAGAAAAACACATACATTCTCTCACCTCTTGCCTCAAGGTGGGTCCAGGGATGAGTTTAAGAAGTGGATAAACTCATCTGCTTAGTGCAGGAGAATAGCAGGTAGTGCTGGGTACAGATGGAAATACTCTGTGGACCTGCCTATAATGTCAGCTGCAGTTCAGACAGTGCTGGGGGTTAATCAGCTGTAGATAATGAAATTATGATACAGGCAATAATATGATGAGAAAATGCAGTGTCTGCCTCAGTTTGATAAGATCGGGAGGAAGGGTTCCTATTTCAAAACATTCCTATATACACAACACCTGAAAGCAGAAGTCTAAGAACAAGGCCTCCAGCAAAGAGCTCGCTGCCTCATTTTTCTCCTCTGTAAAATATGAATATTACTGATTTATAACGTCTGCCTGATGGAGGAGTTTAAGCATCACTGAACGGGCTGATGTGGCTCACAGCAGGAGAAACCTCATTCTCTGAGACCACCCAGCACCTCTTCAGGTGACTCTTCGGTAGGGAGAACGCAGGATTGCACAGAAGGAGATGGATTAGAGATTGGAAATAGCACAGTCAAAGTGGGAAAGAAGCAGTTGTGGAGATGGATCATGGATAAAATTTAAATTTCCATCTATGAGAAAATAATCCACTGCAAATATCACTTAGCTGAACAGGATCACTTGCCTGCATCTGCAGATAGTCTGAAACAAGAGTGGCGTGACTAACTCCAGCCTCATACAAACTGGTATCAGCTCAACTGCAAATGTTCCCCCCGGTTAATTACTCCAGGACTGATTACTGCAAGAGAAGAAAAAGAGACTGTTTAAATCTGGGAAGTCTCAAACTCACAGCCTCGTGTTTTGTCATGACCAAACAGTAATATTTTGGTTACAGGAAGAGCTTCTATCCCCTGGCTCCGGTCTTGTGTCTGGTAAGGAGTAATAATTAATGTTTAGAAAGTATTACCTAAAACACTGTCTTCAAAGATTGTCAGGTTTACGTTGCAAAAATAAAGGATAAGCAGCACAGCTATTAATTTGTAATAACTACCTCAATCATTATTTTTTAAAAAGGTGGAAAAATGGCAAAGAGATTTGAAAAACAAATCACTTGCTCACCACTGAAAATGCTCATCTGCACTTTGTCACGTTCTTGTCATCTTTGACTCATATCCTGAGTGGACCTTGTAGCTGCCTGTGTGGTGTGTGGTTTTACACTGTTGTTAAAACCCCCTAAAACAAGCCGCGTTTTGTTAGAGGATTCTGTGGGGGTTGTTAGTTTGTTTTCACAACGTTGGTTCTGATCCCTCAGTGCCACTAGAACTATTTAAATGTTTGTCATCACAACTCAAACAAAAAGTTGGTTTCTTAGGAAGTTGCGAGATGTCAAAATAGCCAAAAAAAAAACCCCAACCAAAAAACCACCATACACAAAAATAAACCAGAAACCGAAAAGCTTAACTGTGCTTTGCTGCGGGATGTGTACACTGCATGATTACATTGTGAACAAATACCAGAGCGCAACGGCAATGAAAATACAACACATTTTCAAAAAAACCCCACAAGAATGCCAATAATGGACACATTGTGAAATGGAGAGTTACTCGGGATTTCCTTGAGGAGACAGAAGACCCTTGACAGATCAGTAGGCTCATAAAATATGCTGGCCTATCTCGATAAGCATGTGCTGGGAAAGTAAGAAGGAAAATTTTGAAGGAAAAGACTCGGTCAGCTATTTCTCTGGGAGGAATAATCCTCTGCATTTAATCTCGATCTGTCTGTCACCCACAGATTTGGAAAGCACGTGATAAATGTTACGGTCATTCCCCGAGAAAGCACATACATGTACCATTGTGCTGGAGGATTCCTGCATCTGTGTAGAGCTGGAGATGGTATTTGCTGTGGTATTTGGGAAGACTTTCCCTTATTATTTTGAAAGACATGATCAAATTAAAGGTCTTGGGCAAAATTTGGTTTTCTTGCAGCAAGTTTTGCTTGAGTCAAGTGAAGGATGGAGCAAGACAGCTTTATGGGGGATGACATAGACCACAACAGTGTTGTAGAATAAAGTAGACTTTTGGGTCAAGAAGTCCCTGCCTTTGCATTCCATGCTTTTGCTTGTACTTTGGTGTGACACTCCTTTACAGAAAAATAGAGTAGAGCGGAAATGAGTGGGAGCAAACCCCTTTCTGTCCACCTGGGTTAAACCAGAAGTGCTCAAACTTTGTGTTGATGTGCAGCAGCCATTTCTGAACTAGCTGCCTCCTCCCACCCCTTCTCAGGTGCCCAGAAGTCTTTGCATAAACTTTTCATGGTCTAAACATGCACCTTTAAAAAGAGCTCTGCAGTTTTTCCAGGCATACTGGTTGGAATGACTAAACTTAATGGGCTACCAAAGAGGTCAAAGAAACGCACAAGTTGTCTTTCCCCACCTTCTCTTTCAGTTAAGGTCCTGAGCCAACACTCCCCAAGCCAAAGGACTCTGAATTTGGTATTTTAGCACAGCATGAATTCCTCAAACAGATGCTGGCGCCTATCTGACCCTCCAGATCAGCCTGGTGATGGTGCATCTAGGGAGGCTTCTGGTTCAGGCTCATTTCCATTCAAAACCAGGCAATTTCTTTGTGCAGACTTGTTATTTCCATGTGCTTGCATTTTACCTATTAGACCTGCTTTAATCTGTCCCAACAGCCGTGCTGTTACCATAATAGCCAGCAGAAGAACTCTTTAAGACTCATTTTGGAGTTTTAGAAAGCAGGCATTCTTCACTGCAGCACGGGGCGCACACAATTTCACAAAGGTGAGTGCACCCCGTATCTATGTTAACAAGATGTTTCGGCTTACATTTCCAATGAAAGAAGTCACACTGGACATCAGCAGTATCAGCCAGCCACAGGCTTCATGGTTTGGCTTTGAGGTCTACACAAATGCAGACATTTATTCAGAATTACCTTGAGCCACTGGTGACCTCCTCTGATCTGGACCTTCTCCGCAGCAGCTCAGGGGACAGTTCACCCTTTGGATGTTCTCATGAGCAGGAGAGGAAAAGCAAACCACTGATTTTCTAGAAAATTGTAGAAGATGCTGTGGAACCACTACCTTGCTGTCAAATTGGGCTGAAACTGGCTACTGGCTTCAAAAGTTAATGGAAGAGATAGAAATAGTACAATCACAAGCCTCGTTTCCTTAGGAAACCAAGTGAAATCAAATCCAATCTCTCATGTCACATATTATAAGAAAATAGGAGAAAACCAAGAAGAAACTCAGTGTTTCCACGTGTTTCTGTGTCATCTGCTGTCCCATGATTCACACATGGCAGGACAAGGGGAGGGAGCCTGCTGGTCCTGTGCCATTTGGCATTTACAGGCTGTGTTTGTACACTTCACACAGCAGCTGGGCCTCCTGATGCTGCCCCACACATTCAGTAATGATCTCAAACTAATTATTTGCTTTACCATTTTGTGTTGGTTTTCAGCAGGAGGACACTGTCGTTTTCAGGAACTGCTGCTTCCACCTCCCAGTTGACTCATTTCATTACGACTATTTTCTTTCACAAAGTGACTGGCAGCATCTGCGGGCATCATTCATTTTTTTCCAAATAAAAGAGGAAATAGATCTTCAAATGACTACTTCTTTATTTTAGACTTGAAAGTATGCCAGAACTTTGTGAGTCATTCTTTCAAGGAAGACAAAATAGAGTATTGGCAGGAACTAGGTCCGCACCACAATTAGATCATGGGGTCCCCTCTTGCACAGACCACATGTGCCACCGACCAAAACCGCCTGAGGCACCAAACAGCACCGCAGAATTTCCAGTTTGAAATAGTCTGATCTCCAGAGGCTCCAGCTGTTACTCTCCCCAGCAAAACAATTACAAAATTCCCTCAAATTCCTTATTTTTCTAATCGATGTAGTGGGAAGAGATTACTGAGAAAGGAGCTCTCACCAGAAATCCTTTATTTCCTCCTCAGAAATAATTCCTCATACTGAAATACTCCTGTTTCATGGTGGTGGTTCAATGATCACACTTAAGGTGGAAACCCGGGTGCTCTGACTGCCGATCTGCTCTTCCTTACAAACGCTGCAGAAGCTCAGAGCTCTCCTCGTGTCTCATAGGCCAAGGCACACAGTTACAGAATCGATCAGAGAATCGTCTAGGTTGGAAAAGACCTTGAATATCATCCAGTCCAACCATTAACCTCACACTGACAGTTCCCAACTACACCAGATCCCTCAGTGCTATGTTGACTCTACTCTTAAACCCCTCCAGGGATGGGGACTCCACCACCTCCCTGGGCAGCCAATTCCAATGCCCAACAGCCCCTTCTGGAAAGAAATACTTCATGATATCTAGTCTAAACCTTCCCTGGCTCAACTTGAGGCCATTCCCTCTTGGCCTATCGCTTATTACTTGGCTCCAGAGACTCATCCCCCCTCTCTGCCCCCTCCTGGCAGGGAGTTGCAGAGGGCCAGGAGGTCTCCCCTCAGCCTCCTCTTCTCCAGACTGAACCCCCCCAGTTCCCCCAGCCGCTCCCCAGCAGACCTGTGCTCCAGACCCTGCCCCAGCTCCGTTGCCCTTCTCTGGCCACGCTCGAGTCATTCAATGGCCTTTTTGGGGTGAGGGGCCCAAAACTGAACCCACTCAGCGAGGGGCGGCCTCACCAGTGCCCAGCCCAGGGCTCAGATCCCTTCCCTGTCCCTGCTGGCCACGCCAGTGCTGACACCAGCCAGGATGCCATTGGCCCTCTGGGCCACCTGGGCACACTGCTGGCTCCTGCTCAGTCGGCTGGCAACCAACCCCCCCAGGTCCCTCTCTGACTGGCAACACAGGGCTGTTTATCTTACACTCTCACAGGGCAGCTGGGGACACTGACCCTCCAAAGATATTTCTGTCTCATGTCTCCCAATTCTACATCACAGGAACATGGAAAACCATTTTTTTCTTACTCCTAGGCTAGCTGTGTTTCGAACCAGCAACACCAACAACAATTCCAGTCTTTGATAGGTCAGCAGGATCTGGCAAATCAGAGACACACTGCTAGGCAGTCAGAGCACAAGACTGCTATCGACACGGCCCTTCCTGACTATAGGACACCAGAAAAATCACTTACTCTTCCCCATGCCTTCATTTTTTTCACTGGGTAGTAGCATTTTGCACTCTCTGCTGCTGCAGTAGCAAATTCTTAGGATGGCCAAAATATCTGTAACAGCATGTTACTGACCTGCAGCATTGCTTTGAGTAATAAGTGACTTATAAGTGAGCTGTCACATTGTCACCTCATTGTTCCTTCTCTTTTTTTCCTTTGTTTGCCAATCCTTCCCAATATGACTATCCCAGCATGCCAAAATACACGCAACGAGGCCAGCAGTGCTAAACCAGAGCCTGGGTACCGGGCAGCTGAGTACAGAGACACCCAAACGGGCTGTGCAGGCACCATCAAGGATCAGGAATCAGCCTCTCCATAAATTTATTAGCTCAGCTGGGTGACCACACAGTGTGTCCACGATGTGTGTCGCTGTGCGGACTCAGCACCACCAATCTCATTGCCAAAAAATGCCAGGTGGGTTCCCCTCAAAGCACACACCAGAGTTGCCTGGCACAGCTGAACACACATTCATTCAGTTAACTGTTGACCTGTCATTCGGCACACTGTGTTCATAAAATTCCTTGCGTAAGAGGTTGGGCAAGCCTAGATCACCCTGTTCCCTGCTCCAACGGCTGTTGCAACATTGACTATTTGCTGCCTACCGGGAGCTCGTGTTCACAACATTCCTGAGAGGCTGCTGAGCCTGACTAACCCTACAAATTGTCATCTGCTTCTACTGTTCCATGCAGGCTCCAATGATATTGCAACAAGGCAACTCAGAACCATCAAGAGACTATATGTCCCTTGGAGCAACATTAAAAGGATCTGGAGCACAAAGAGTGTTCTCCTCTATCCTCCCAGAGGAAGGGGTTTAGGAAGGAGACACACTGAACAGGTGAATGCCTAGCTGGTGCCATACTCAAGGGTTTGGCTTCTGTGATCATGAGGAACTGAATCTGTTGGGAAAATGATGGGATTCACCTGACCAAGTTGGGCAAGAGGGTCTCTGCCAACAAGCTGTTCAGACTTGTATGGAGAGCTTTAAACTAGACCTAGCGGGGAAAGGTGTAAGGAACTGAAAGAAGTAATGACTCAAACATTCATCGACACAGAAAACCTCAAGGACAAGCTGTGGCCTTTGGATTAGTCTAAGGAATGTCCCCCAAGGAAGCGGGAGCCTATCAAAGGATGCACCCCCCACACCCGTGCAGTTGCATTGACAAACTCCTTAGAGAAGCCTCAGAGGGCCAGACAGGGACTAAACCAGGTGTTTCCCCTCAAGCACAAGTACTGCTAAGCCCAATACTTGGTGGCTCGATTGTGCAAGCCAGACACCAGTGCTTGCCTTGCTAATGACTTCACCCCTTCTCCACTGGAGGGGTAACAAGAACTGGAAGAGGTGAGCATTTCTGGGATGAGTGATGAGATCTCTGTGATCAGAGGAAACACCAAAGCTGGGCAACAACCACCTGCCCACCGACTCAACTGGAACCCATGCTCCACCTTTTTCCTTGTCTCTCATGGAGAGGAATTTGTGGAGTACCTGCCCCTCCTCATCTAGTATGCTAATCAGCTGATAAGATGAACTTTAAAAGGCAACAGAAACTTTGCTGTGTGTGCACCCACCACCCAAGATTACCAGACCTGAGACAACGCTGGATCCAGGGGTGGTGATCCGGATTTCTTTGACTCTTTTTTCTCTTTTCTCTTTTTTCTCCTTTCACTTTCCTTTTGATTTATAAGAGACCACATTAATTATTATCCTTTTCCAAGTTTAAACTGTTCTCTACTGCAAGTAAAATATTTTAACTGGTCGTTTGGTGTCATTTCACCTTCATTTAACCTGAGAGGATCACAGAACCGTTGTGACTCTCTGGGCTTCCAGTCCAGGTCGTGATGAAGGGGGATGGAGTGTTGAGCCATAAAGAGCCAGGGGCTGCTGATGCATCAGGAACCAGATGGAAACAACAGTGAAATGCCTCAGAGGAATTAGGGCATATTACTCTAAAAAGGTGTCATGGTTGATAGCCCACCGAAGTGCCTCTAGACCAACACACACAACATGGGTAACAAGGAACTGGAAGCCATTCTTGAAGCTAGAAAGCTACAATCTAATTGATATCTATTCAATGATACGACGGGAGATTATAAGAAAAATGGAGAGAGACTTTTTAATGAGTTCTGTAGCATGAGGACAAGTGGCAATGGATTTAAACTGAAAGAGGGTAGATTTAGATTAGATATAAGGAAGAAATTCTTTACTGTGAGGGTGGTGAGATCCTGGCACAAGTTGTCCAGGGAAGTTGTGGATGTCCCTTCCCTGGAAGGGTTCAAGGTCAGGTTGGACGGGGCTTTGGGCAACCTGGGCTGGTGATTTACACACAGCTACTCAAGTCACAAGGCATCTCCCTGCCAGTCTAATCTAGACAGATTCCAGGTGGTGGAAAGAAACTGGATTATTTATCTACTTTTTCTGCTGAAACATTCATTTACCCCCTCTACTCCTGGTGCAAATCCACCCCCAGGCCATGCACTTCCATATTTTCCACAGAGGAACAAACCCCAAAGTATCTGGGTGGGGCAGGGCACTCTTTTTAATACTCTGAGGAAAATCCTATTTAAAAGGGGCAACCAAGCAACCCCACTGCATGGGGGATGCTTCCACACAGCGGGGTCTGGAGCCACCCCAGGAGGGGGGACAGGGATGGGGACCGGAGGAACGGAGGTGCTGAAGTAAGTGCCACAAAAAGGAAAGGGGCCAGAAGGGTTTAAAATGGGGGAAGGTCCTGAGGAATGAGACTGAGGGGGAAGGATTGAGGTGAGGGAAGGGGCCAGAAGGGCTTAAGATGGAGGAAATTCCTGAGGGAAGAGGCTGAGGGTAAAGGACCGAGGTGAGGAAAGGGGCCAGAAGAGTTTAAAATGGGGGAAGGTCCTGAGGGAAGAGGCTGAAGGAGGGCACTGAGAGGGAAGGGGCCAGAAGGGCTTAAGGTGGAGGAAGGCCCTGAGGGGAAAGGACCGAGCTGAGGAAAGGGGCCAGAAGGGTTTAAAATGGGGGAAGGCACTGAGAGGGAAGGACTGAGGTGAGGGGCCAGACAGGTTTAAAATGGGGGAACAACCTGAGGAAAGGGGCTGAGGGTAAAGGACCGAGGTGAGGAAAGGGGCCAGAAGGGTTTAAAAAGGGGGAAGGTCCTGAGGGAAGGACTGAGGTGAGAAAAGGGGCCAAAGGGCTTAAGATAGAGGACATTCCTGAGGGAACAGGCTGAGGGTGAAGGACTGAGGTGAGGGAAGGGGCCAGAAGGGCTTAAGATGGAGGAAGGCCCTGAGGGAAGGGGCTGAGGGGAGGCACTGAGGGGGAAGGACCGAGGCGAGGCAAGGGGCCCACGGCATGATGTGAGGGGATGAGGAAAGGGGTTGAGGGACTGAGGGAATGTCTGAAACAAGGTGTCGGGGGGAAG